AGCAGCTTTGTTCCTAACAAGTTATTGAACAGTGCAAAGTACGGAAGTAACACGAGCAACGATTTAGAGTCTGGATAAGCGAACGCCTCCTTTGATGTCTATTAGGTCTACAGAGGGAGATGTAAGGTTTTCATTAGTAAAGACTGGAAACATCTTCATCTCTTCCTCCATCTTTCACTTTGTCGACCTCTTCTTTGTTTCATGCATCTCTTTCTTTCTCTCTTGTTGTTTGTCTCGCTTCATTCTTTTATCAGTCACTTCCATCTTCAGCAGTCTTTCTCTCACTTCTTTAATTCTTAAGTCTGTTTCACCAACTTGTCCCTAACTCCTTTTTATTCTGTCTCCCTCCATCTTTACTGTATTTTTTTTTTCCCTCTTCTGTCTCTCAGCCTCGTTTTCTCTCCTCCCCTCTAAGTTATTCTCCGTCTCTCGTTTTCGTCTCACTTTCTATCTCCGTCTCACAGTACGAGCAGCTGGGAGTCTGCTTAGTATTCTCAGTAACTCCAACGACAGCGGGGGGCCTTTTTTTTTTTTTTTTTAATGTCGTTTTGTCTGAACAAACTGCGTAATGCGTCTGCCTTGTTAGTTTGAGATTTTGGGAATGAAAGGCAGGAATTTGAAGGGCTAATCCTCGAGAATACTCATTTTGGATTTTAAGATTTCGCCTCATTGCCTCGGGGTGTTTCCTGTCAGTCACACAGCGTGAGCAGAGCTGTGATACCTTCGGACTTTTTGCTGATTATTAGCAATTCTTTGTTATTGTTATTATTGGTTTCACTATTAACCCTAAAACACTAACGTTAAAATTAGTAACACCATCACTAACGCCGGGTATATTTTACCTGATATAATATTCCAGATAAAATATAGCTTTCATCAATTTATGTAAAAGTACAACACTGTATGCCAAATTGTAGTATTCTTCTTTAATTTCCCAATATACAATATCACATAAAATTAAAAAAAAGGTACCTCGGGGAACCCTATAAAAAGGCAGCAAAATTATTGAAAAATCAGGTAATCCTTAACGAGAAATTTCCAAACAAAAAACATAATGGAGCTGGGAACTTGTTCTTTGGTCCAGCCATTCCTGGGACATGTGAGCCTTGTCAGGTGAAGGCACAGTCTTCCTGCATCGCTGACAGCTGTGGCAGAGATTGACGAAAAATGGTGTTTTTTGAGAGGGGAAAAAATTACCAAATTTTTTTGACAGTATGAATTTCCTTGGAAAGACGACATACCAGAACCAAACTGTGCCTTCACCAGACAAGGCTCACATGTACCAGTCCTACAATTTGTCTACATGTTTCCATCTACAATTTAGCTACATGTCAATCACTTGTTAGCATGCCAGAGTAACTAAGCCTTTGACAGGATGACAGCTGTGGATGACTGGGGCAGAGAATGTGGCCTGAATGTTGTTTCCCATGAAAAGTGCAAAGAGCGCCTGATTTCAACACACAAACACTAACATTAGGTAAATGCCACCCATAAAATATGTTACCCTCTATCACCAACGTCAGGTAAAAATCACCCAAACGCATGCCTCTTGAAAAAACCATAGATGGGAAACAAACATACCATTAACGACATCAATGAGCAACCTGAAGCTACCCAAGGACCCATGCAACTCAGACAGCAGCAACACAATGAAAATCACATGACAAAAATCATGCAGGTGAAAATCACCTGACGTTAGAGTTCTAGGGTTAAGCGGTTTGAGTATTGTTTGAAATGTTTTGTGGGTTTACATTCCAGTATGAGTGACTATACAGAGCATAAGTGTTGCCTAAATTAAATGCACTTTATAAATCTGAATCAGTAAATATCTTCAGTTGTTTGTCCAGCAGAGCAGCTCCACCTCCATTGTTTACTCTTAGCACTGTCTGCAGCACATGTAGCAGAGCGTGCATCACAGCTGAGCAGACAGATAACACACCATTTATGCGACTATCGAGAAATCTGCAGGGAACTGATATCGCCAACAACAGATTAGCTGAAATTTAGTTATCTGTTTCCAGGATACTCTGAGGAGAGCATTTTAAAGGCAAAAAATACAATAGTGTTTCTGAATTAGTAGACGTTTCTTTAGCATTTAAAGTAATTCTCTGACAATGAATATGATGCAGACCCTATAAAACCCATTAGGTTCTCCTCAATGCTTGGGACAAAAAAGACAATTTAGGCAAGTTTAACAAGGAAATGACTTGTATGCTCGAGCAACAGTGTGCGTCTGTGCTTGTGTGTCCTTGTACAGATGTTTCTAAAGTGTTTTAAAGCAGTGACCTATGACAGAAAAGATGTTAAGCACGAGTATACTGTCTCCACTGGGACGGCTGGTTAATGATTTAATTGTACGGCCTATAAATATGTTAGGATATATAATATTTAAAGTTATAAATACTGAAAAGAATACCAATATCATTTTATGTCGTCAGTGAACTCAGGAAAACAATTGTTCTTCTGACACCGTCTCCTGCTGTGTTAATTCTACAGAATGATGTTTTAAAATTCTGCTTGGTGTAACTTTTTATTCAGGATTAGTAGATCAAAATGTGTGCTTCATCATAAAATACCTATTTCAAGGTTGGGAACTTAGCTCCAGATTAGTTTCTGGGAAACAGTTAAACAATAAAGAAGCACACAGAGGGGTGTGCGGAGAGCTCGGGAAGCTTATCCTGAGGGCTGCCCTTGAATTGACGGAAGAGGATTATTCTGCTTTGCAGTCATTAGAAGTGGTTCTGAATCAGTCATCTGCCTTTAAGTAAAATGTAGAGACACTGAGCTTTCTTCAGACACCCAGACACCTGTTCTGCTGCTCAAACCCACACTAGTAAAAACCTACAGTCAAGGATTTAATATGCAAATCGCAAAAGCTTTCTTAAAGCCTTGACTTGCTCAGATTTGCTCTGTGAACCACGCACGGCTACAACTGTCTGTTTATTAGTGTTAATCTGTCAATGTTGATTTGAGGGGGTTTGTTCAGTCTGAGAGCTGATCTATGGCAGCTATTAACATCTACATTTGGTGGGTGTAGTTGTGTCAGTTTTTGCAAATTAGCATTGCCTTTTGTTATTTTTAAACTACAGAAAAGTAAATGCATTCTCTTACTCCACTGTCAGAGACACTGCATGTGACATTGCCCAAGACAAATATGAGCTTCTCCTAGCATATAACCATTTACATCTCAGACTGATGAACATAAGCTTGCAAATATATTGGTGTTGGCACATATGTCCGTTGATATGTACGGAAGATTGTAGGCCAGAAAGATATGTTTGATGTCATATTCACAAATATCACAGTTAGGTATTTTGTCCACCGAAGAAGCATTGAAAACATCCCGCTCAGTGCACTTTGCCCATACATTATTTAAAAGTTACCTTGATATGATCCCTAACTACGCATTATAAGATGCTTTTAAATCAGCCTGAAACAGTCAGCGCTAGTTGGGCTCAAATCTAGCATGTCAAAAAATCACATCCCACTTCATTTTGCTTGCAAATACTAGTTTCTAATGAATTATTTAACATTCTTTTTGCATTTGATTATCATGATCTTAGTACTGCAACTGGCAGTTATCTTAGTGATAGACTGAGCAAGTAAAACAGTCCATAAAATGTGCAAGAAACAGAGAAGATGTCGTTGCATCTACCCAGGAGCCAAGGCGATGTTTGAAGAAATGCTTGTTTTGTCCAGCTGGTGGTTTAAAACATAAACCGAAGAGAGGCATTACCTTCCTACATTTAAGAAACTGGGTCAAATGTTTGATATAATAATAGGTTAAAGCGCGAGTGTGGACCTTTTGCGCATAAATCAACATTCAAGTGGTACATCCAGGTAAATCTGTTGACTGACAGGTTACAGCTGTGGCTACACATCAGTTAGTGGCAACATTAATCAACTAGTAGGAAAGATGCTGCAAGCGATTGTTGTTTGTGGAATGAGTCTCACTGCCAGAGAGGGGAGACAAAGGTTCTGGATAGCAGGTTGTTCATCAAAACATTCACAATGTGTTTTCTGGGACTGAATAATTGTCAGCCTGTCTGCAATCCTACACAAGCATGACCAGTGGCCCCTGACAATGCCTGAACATTTCACTTGATGCTGTCAGTGCAGCTGAAACTTTAATTTCCCTGACAATGCAGGACCTGGGCTATCGCAAAAAAAGCTGCCGAAACTGAACAAGTACAAGCCATTGCCACAAATGAGGAAATGAGCTATCTCAAAGTGGCTATGCTAATGGCTAGTGGCTAAGGAGGCAGCCACAGAACACCCCAGAACAGTGTCTAGAAAACAACAACAAATAATGCTTTAAGACATGGGCCTCAGTGACCAATGAAAGGGTTAGAACAGTTAAAGATGAAGAAAACAGAGAAGAATTGTAGATGTCACTACAGAAGAAGAGGAGACAAACCTCAGTGTAAACAAAGGAGAGGTCACATGATGCTCAGATGTCACTTCTATTGTGACTGTACATATTCAACTTCTAATAACTTGTCTAACTGTAAACTAAATTGTATAATTCATCCCACACCCACCCAACCGGTCGAGGCAGATGGCCGTCCCTCCCTGAGCCTGGTTCTGTCGGAGGTTTTCGGTTCCTTCCCACTGTTGCAGACTGCTTGCGGACTGCTGAAGCTTATAGGGAATCCAGATGTTTTGGATTGTTGGGTGTCTCTGCCTTTGTGAAGCGCTATGAGATGACTTGTTGTAAATATGCGCTATACAAATACAATTGAATTGAACTGAATTGAATTCAGCTATAGTATTAATGAATTATCTTATTAATGATGTTGTCTAGTTATCAATGACAGGTTCCCAGCTATCACCTGGTTTGATTAATTCCAGGTATCTATCTATGTAATAATGACTAATGATGAAAAACCTTGTTCCTCGTCTTGACTAAGCCCTTTAAATCCATTATAGCATCAGCACAGCTACAGAAAGTGTCAGGATAGATGATTCTGATGTTTTTCTTGTCTCTCCTTTCTCCTCAGTCTACCCAGCTGACCCTGACTATTACGGCCGCCCAACAGTCCAGGAGTTCCCCCAGTTTGACATCGTGGAGGACACCTATTCCACCTCTACGATGGACTCTCGGAGGAACTCTCGTTTCGGTGGCTTCCCGTTTCCACTGGACCGATGTGACCGCCGCGCGCCCCTGCCACCGTGCTACAGCAACCAAAACCTGGACGACTTCCTGGGTCCAGACGGGCTTCCTATTCCCAGCTCTCAGTGCCCCAACGAGTACACTGCTATCAGCTACTACCCCACGCAGCACACCCGCAGCCTCGACAACGTCTCGGGAGGCTACAAGAGACTCAGCATGCGCCTGAGTGTCGCCATGCCATCGTATGCAGAGAATCCCAGCCAGTCACCTGGGCCCAACCCTGCCCAGCCTCAAACACGACCTGCAGGGCAGAACCCGCGGAGCTACGATGGCTCTAGCATGGTGGAGAGCGATTACGGAAGCTGTGAGGAGGTGATGTTTTAAGAACAAGTTTCCCAAGTGTGGCAATTTGCATCATTTCTGGAGGTTATTCATTTTTAGCACATGCCACTTACCAACTATTCCTCCATTCTAAGGCAGCTTTGTGTACGAGTACACTTCTCAGATGGGTCTCTGTGACGCTACTGAACACCCGCTCAGCAGTCTGTGGCTGTGAGATCAGACCTTTTTGATGGAGATGAAAGAAACATGTGAAACGACAGCTCAGACGTCTTTGATTTGCTTGACTTTTTAAAGGAGCCTAGTCTTGCTCTGCCAGACTCGATGAGGGGTAATTCTCAGTTACCTCCACGGAAGAAGCTTAGCAGAAGTGTATCTTTTTTGTTGTCTAAGAGACGCCACCAAGAGCACTCGTCGCATTGTGAAAACATGAACAGTATTACTGACTTGGCTGAGCACTGATTCAAAGTCAAAATGTGGCAAAACGAGACGTTTATAAGCTTCAACATAAAAAGCATTTGCCTCTCAGAAGAAGAGGCTGCGTTCCAAACATGTTTGAACTGTGTAGAAATCCTGCATTTCACCGTGCTGAAATCTAAAAATCAAAATCAGCTGTGCCAAACATCGATCATTGCATGTATACGGCTCACCTTGTGATGCACATGAGGCGGCAGGCACGAGGAAAACACTGCTGTCCTGACGGTGTGACATTCAGACAACAATGAGAAATGTCCCGAAAAAAGAGGTTTAATAAGGACTTGTTGCACTGATGAATCACCAATCAGGTTTTATCACGCACACACTCTAGTGTGTGTTTGTGCTCGTCAAATTTATTTGGTCATAAGCGACTTCCAAGAATACCAATAAAACACACACTGGGGTATTGTGCGTCAAATCCACTGTTTCAAATTTAAACATATTAACAGTGACATTAAGCACATTTCACGCAGGATAAACATTTCAAATGAACTCTTTAATCTGCTTCCTGTTGCTGTTGTTTGTTGTTAGTGTCTGTTACTATGACGAGGGCCGGATCCTCATAAAAAACAACAAAAACAAACAAATAAAAAGACAAAAAAAATATGAACGCCGTAAACACAAGTGATAAGGTGATGTTATCTGTGAAGTCTGTGTATTTTAACTAAGTGTTATTAATGCTGTAAAAGTTCTGTAGATTTATACAGTCTGTAAGTATCTCTTCATGGGGTTTTAATGAGTGTGAGCTAGATTACAGTATTTTTTCTTTGGAGGTTTGTGTGTTTGTGATCACGTTCTGCTCTGCGGTGTTGCTGCCCTCAATGAAAAAGGATCTTCTGAATGTGGTGAATGTTCTGCAGCAGTCATAAACTGTCTATGCAGCCATTTTAAATGGTGTGAATATGGAACGCTCAGATAAAAGAAGCGCTTGTTTTGGTCAAAGGCTTGTTGCGGATTAAAAAGTGAATGTGTAATGTGTTAATAGTAGAGTTCATGTTTAGCCTGACCAGCGATGTGTAAATTCAACTGTTAAGAGCCACAACGTCCACAAGTAAGCAAAACCATAATAGTAATGCTGCACTACATTTGTCATGACTTTGTGCTCTATTATATTTTTATTATTATTTAACTGCTGATTTGAGAAAAAGATGTCCATCACATTTTCCCTAAACCAAAGGCAACGTCTTCAAAAAGCTATTCAGTTTATAATAACTTAAGAAAAATGTATGAATTCAATTCCTCAACGTCTTCTCACTCAACAAACCACACTGTGGTAGCTGTGGATTGTACGTTCAATAACTGTGCAGTGTGTACTTTATTTTGATAGATACTGTATGTTGGCGTAGCTACAAGAAGCCACATGCATTATGTAAAAGTTAACACAGCCCATTTTTCAGTTTGGCGGCTTCGCAGCCAGAATCCACGACACCACAATTACTGCACCATCCTGAAGTAATATGTGCAACAGAATTCAGCTACTGTTCGCGCATTACTCCCGTTTGTCTGATAACTTCCATCGTTACGGCAACCAATGTTAGCAGGTGATTATACCGTCCAAACAGCACACATCCCACCACCGGGTCATTTGTGAATACCAGCGCAGACGGGCAAGCGCCAAAGATCAGATCTAAAAGACGCATCTGGTTTTTGCTGCTGTTTGGACAGTTTGTGATTTCACAAATGACGGAGCACGGGCTGAACGTGTGCACCGTGTTTGCTGTGCTGCTTTGACGTACGCGTGCCGGGGCTGCAGATGTAACATCAAAGCCTGCAGCAACTGAATTTGTACGCAGGTGGGGGGCAGATGAACAAGACACGAGGGCACTGCTTGTACTAAAGCAGCTGAGGAAGTTGAAGGTGTTAACGTACATCAGAGCTGAATAAGGTGTCGAAGTCAATAAAAAAAATATTCTTTGTAACTTTCTCATTTGTCCCGACTGCTGAGTGGCTCCCGTCTGGCATCATAAAAGGTTAAGTCAAACATTAATACATCCTAAGTCACCGCTGTATTTTAAAGCAGCTTCGGCTCTGTTTCTGAAAAAAAGAATTAGGGTTGGGAAGCAGACACTTGCGTGGCAACCGCAGTGTGCTCAAAGATTTTCAGATAATATCTCCTCCTTCTGTTTATCTGATTCACGCAGGACAAATCTTTCTCATCCGGGGATCTGACTTGCGTCAAAGCATCAGGCTGTGGGTTGTGAATAATAACTATCACTGGTGGTTTGACTGTGACTGCTGTTTTACTTCAAACTGTTTTTTGAGTTCTTTGTACAAAAGAGTTGTTCTAATCTCCAGGTATTGTGCTGTACAGTCGGTGTCTGTGTGTTGCTGTTGTTGTGCAGAATATGAATCATTTGAATGTGTGTCACATGAGTTCTGTTTTCATTCATAAAGTTTATTTTTGTATCAATGTGGGCCTCCCCATGTTTTGCTCTGTTGTTTCTCTGTGAGAGATTTTTATTACGATGCCGTCTTTCCATTTGTTTTCCAATATTGTAAAGAGAATATGAATAAAGATATTATCTTCTATAAACAGTGATTGAAGATATCCGACTTCTTGCTGCTCCGTGTCCTCAGCAGCCGTCAAAACAGACGAGGTTTAAAAGCACACATCTGTGGGTTTTACCACTGCCTGGAAAGCAAAGGGAGAAAACTTTAAGCCCTCTCCAGACAGGATTAGCGTTATCAGAGGAAATCATGGGTAATTTGAATTTGTCCATGCACGTCGCTGATGTAAGTCACCCAGACAGTACAATAATTTGCTGGGTTGGTCTGGAACAAATCTGCTGAGCGATTTCCTGAGCCAAACCTTTAGAAACCTGATCAATTTGTATTGAATGAGGAAGCAATTTGGATGATGACAGCAGAAGAAGGCCTTTAAAGCCATTAAATTAAAGATTTAATTATGGTACATAAGAAATACTCTGCTTTAAGTGATACCTCACAGACCTTCAAACTTCAGCGTAGGTGACTAGATCACACAGGTGTAGAGGTGTTTTCCCCTGGAAGAACATAATCAGTGGTTTTCAAACACACGTAAAGGCATTTGGAGTGTTTGAAACTAGAATAAGATATCAGAAAACTTTGTCTTGTTTTTCAACTCGAAATGAAACGAAAACTAATCACAATTATGAACTTGGCTTCCCACAATTATATGAGCATGATCGACTTTTAAATCAACACTTAAAATGAGCTGCAACTGTTGGGTTTGTGCTACAGAGCTTTGAGCCTCTGTAGGACCTGTGCTCTGTGCAGAAAAGTTTACAGCCCCAACACAAGATGTCTCCCACATCACTGAAGGAACACTCCATGTTTGTGAAAGACTGGCCTCAAGTTTCCACATCACACGGACCAAGATTGATTTTGCAGCTAGTTGTGGAGTCATAAGTCCTGCTGCAGGTTCACTCCTTAAACTTACATTTCTGGTGAGCTCAGAGGAACTCTCGTCTTTCAGCAGAAGAATGTGAAAACAGCCTGTTTGTATTGGAACAGTCAATTTCCCTGCCCAGTGCCAAAGTGTTAAAGCATACTTCATGTTTGTACTGTGAAGGTGAAACATCTACAGGATGCAACAATGACCAAAACGACGAGCACCTCATTAAGCACAGCTACACAAGCAACTGCAACGTGCTGCACGTTTTAGCAAACATGAGCAGTTGGAATGCAACTGTTCTGAAACCTTGTCACTGGCCTGCAACTAACTTTCATTTTTATGACTAAAACCCTAATATAATGCAATATTATCAAATGAAAGTTTAGTTTGGAGTTCACATTTAGTTTATTAGAGACTGTCTACACACTCTCTGGGTTTTTTCAGGCGAATTGGTCGTCATGAAGT